CGTTGCTATTAAAAATCGCCTGCGAAAACTAAAAACACAAAGATAAGCGGTTATCGGACATCTCGTTGAAGTGTAAACAAAAACGTAATATTGCGAGTGGTTTATTTTCGTAATTCGCTTGCGTACACATACAAACACAATATACCTATTCGTGTCTTATGAGTTACATAAACATGTTTAACGTATAAATAAGGATAAGTGGCAATAATTAAAATTAGTTAACTATTCATATCGTGGGAAAGAGATATACACCGATAAATAAAATGGTGAAACCCACCAAGAGATATATTGTATTTGTTTGTATTTTTTATTATAGAGGTAGACTACGGTAGTAGGGTAAAATACACCACATAAAACATAACAACCAGACGCGCTGTCAACGTCAACCTATTTTGTCTTTGGATACTCGGAAATCGAAACACGAATAAAATTCACGTATGATATTCCTATTTTTTTTGATATCCCGATTTCTACACATAATATCTAACATGTCAATTGGGCTTGGTCAGGTACGAATCCACGACCCGTTGATTATTAACCATTGTTGCTATCCTTTAGAACAACTAGCTGTTTTATTTACAGATAATTAAGCAGTCGATCGGACAAATATGAGCTCGATTGGAACTAAATAACAATAATATTATATTTCCGGTATTCAAACCCAGCACTACAGCTCAACGTAATTGAATCATTAACCCACACAGAAAGTCATAAGGATAAATGGTTAGTAAACATCAATTAACTATTCACACCGTGAGAAAAAGATACTTAATCATGGCCATACATAATATGTGATGGAAAAAATACTTCCTGCAATCGAAAAAACGAAGACTGTTCTTCCGTTAACCATGTTGATGACTGATAAGGGTCACGGGGTGAGGCCAGTAGACTCACAATGACTTTTGATCGGTGAGTCATGCATTTATCAGCCACATTCAACGTTTGTGATAGCAATGTATGTATTTAAATAAAACACATTTTGATAATAATGCACATCCAAAACGTAGGCCCGCAGTTAAAATCTATACTAATATATAAATCTGAGGAGTTTGCTAGTTTGATTGTTTGTTTGTTTCAGCGCGCTAATCTCAGGAACTACTGGTTCGAATTGAAAAATTCGTTTTGTGTTAGTTGGGGCATTTATCGAGGAAGGATATAAAAATCGCTCTGTGACTAATAGGGACGTAGAAACAGCGGGAAATTTATAAAATAACGGGTGAAATAATACACCTTTACGATGCATACGCTGCAAAAATGTTCAAGATACCCAAAAAACATAGGTACAGTAGACAGGTAGTAGATAACAGCTTAAGTTTATAAAGTAAAAGAGGAGATTTGCAAAAACAATTTGGATGTCTAAATAACCATTCTTTGCAGAAGAAGAATTTATAAATGAGTTACTACAGACAGTAGCAATGTATGTTTCAAGAAAGCGAGATAACAACTTCTTAAAACTAAAAACTTACCAGCGTCCTGAATCAGCATCTTCAACAAACACCTTCTACAATATCACTCTTAAGTCTTAATAGATAGAGCAGGAGAAAAGCAACGAATATATGAAATATTTTTCACCGCACGACTGGCGAGCGGCTGAATGGAATTTGGCGCCAGCCGATGTCGTTTTATGCGGTCGTAAACATGACTTTTTTGATTTACTACGCCCATCCGTCTCTTTCTATCGCCCTATATCGCCCACTTCCGTCTCACTCACATTTTCGTGTAATATTTACGTAGCGGATACGTACACCTCAATCCCCACCGATCTGCGAATACTGATAGCGATGATACCATATTCATCATTATAATCTCGTGAGATGGAAAAAATCACCTACAATTTTCAGATGAAAATAATCCTTATGGAAACATACTTTCCTTGCTACCATATTTACTTATTATATCAAACATTATGTAAATATCTGACTGTAAAACCCGCTTAAACGTTTATTTATCTAGACTTGAATAAACTAAGCGCTCTACTAAAATAGCTAGGCAAATGATTAAGGAAACTTTGTAAGGAAAGTTCTATTACAAATACTGTAAATATAATAACTTATGGAAACTTTACAATGATTTCTCTCTACATTATGGCTACGATTAGAAAAAATGTGTCGATCATCATGCATAACAAAAGCTCTATAACCTTTGCTTGAATGGTAGCTATGTATGGCTCAATATCAAATGTATGGTACCAACGAGTCGTCGGTTTAGACGTTATACACCTGGGGTATTTCCCTTTCATCAAGTGAAACACAGGTTGGTCCGTCCTCCTCTATCAATAGACATATATGTGTATCTGTAGTGTATTCTTAGACTTAATTATATAATTTCATCTTAAATACTGTAATGTGTTAATAAAAGACTACGGATTTTTCCTCTCCTTCTGGTATACCCGAGCTAGTCTGAAAACCAGTGCTGCCGAGTGTTGCCACCCTTATGTATCTGTTATTGAATTTTGTAGCAATCAGTTTTGTAATTTTGTACTTAAATATGTGTTTAAGGGTAATAAGAAGTATTGGATTTGAATATAAATATAATGAAGCGTTAGATAAGAACGATTAAATCTGCCGAGAAGTAAACAGCTCTTTAGGGTAAATGGCTCAATCGATTGTGGGAAAGGGGAACATTCCAGGGATGATGGGGCGCGTTTAAATAACAGCAGGGTAAGAATTACTCGGGCACTTGAAATAAGCTCTTTCGCTGACTGTCGTCCTGATTTTGATAAAGATTCTATTGTAAGACCAAGCGATAGAACAAGCTCATATTTTTTATTGGATGTGAAACAGCGTTTGACGATATTTCACCTGATAGAAGCGTGACTAAAATGGAATATGCGGAAAAACTAGTTATAGTATAGTTATACATATTAATTTTAAATGCGCCCAGATTGTGCTTAGATGGGAAGACAAAAGACGGATTATTCTCTTTGCATAACCTTTCATTCCCTTTAACTACATTTGTTTCATGGTACAGGGGACAGACAATCGTGGGATTCAGTTGTTGAATGGACCCCAGCCATATTACATCTCAATAAATGCGCTGTCGACTTACTTTCGCTTTGGATGTTCGGAAATAGAGACTGCAACCGAAACGGAATTAAATAACACGGGTTTTTCATCAGTGGACGGTGGTTAGTGACATGGAATTTCGATGTTCCAATGTACCTATTTAATCCAGATTTCTAAACGAAGATCGACATGACCAAAAATTATAAATTGGTTTTAAACTTGTTAGACACGGTTGGGGTCGAACCTACGAGAGGTTGATATTACCCATACATTGCTAGACATTAGGACCCCGTTAATAAAACATATGAATGTAATATAGACGTATGTGCTTATCTAACGCCTAGTCTGCTAGGATAAGCCTTGTATTACGTTAAGATTTTAATTTAGTTATTCCTAACTCCCTCCGTTGGGCATATGAGAAAGTAATTTTAATTATTTAGAGTAGAAAAAAGTAGCGTATTATTAGAATTTGCGGTAGCAATTTTTGGTTTTACTCTTACAAAATTTTCAATACAAAATTTGTCTATAATTTACGCGTGTGTGTAGTGCACTGCAGCATTCGAAATATCAGGCCGAAGTTAAAAATAAAAATAATTTAACTATTTAATATCGCGTTTTAAACCGTTAAAGTGTTTTATTTAAATACATAATTTGTGTAACAACGTACAATGTTGTAAAAATATAGAGCGATGTACGGCTGCAAATCCACCTATAAATATATTAAAGCTCATAAAACAAGGCTTCACGCTGCAACGTAAATATTTTGCTACGTTATCTACGGCCGATACTAGGTAGCCTATGTAGTCCGTTATAACGTTTTAACGCCATTTTATTATAACGCTGCAAGTAATACGATTATCTTGGCTATAATAAGAATTGAACTTCCATGCTATTTGGCTTTTGGATTTAATGTCGTTCTTGCATTTTATAGCATGACTAGCTGTGTCCGCGACTTCGTCCGCGTGGTCTAATTTTGGGCATCGTATTTATTTATGCAGACATTCGTCGTCAATGTCTTAAATTGTTTAAGACGATTTAGTTTTTTAAGGTTTTTAAGTGATATACGTTAGTTAATCTTAAAATATAGACATATACCGTCGCGGACATTATTTTAGATCATTTCTTAATACATATTTTTTTAATTTCTTGGACGCCCTCAATAATGAATAATATTCCATGTTTTCACTGTTTAACACAACAATAATTTTCCAATTCCAACCAGTAGTTTCTGAGATTGATGCGTTTTAACAAACAAACTTGTCAGCTTTACAATATTAGTATAGATTAGAATTATATAATTTAAATCTGGAACGGAACAAATCGTCCAGCATTATCCACTTGAACGGCACCCTGAACATAATCTGTGGCGGGTGCTATCATTGGAAGTGACGTAACAACCCCCTAATTAGGCTAATGCGCAATTAGTACAACCAACTATACGTTTGTTATTAACCTAAGTAAAGTTCTACAATTGTATGAAATTGAAGCTTTAACTATAGTTACTATATTGACCATAATTATAAAACACTACTATTTTATAATTCATGCGAATGAGATTTATTGTGCGCTAACAAAATTAATTTTACACGAAAGCCATCGTCGTTAACTTTTAGAACATCTTTTATTATTCCCTTTTAATTATTTGGCCTATCTATAGTATAAGAACTAGCTCCATGTTCTATAGTGTCTATGTTTGAATAAAGAATTTTATTATTATTAATAATAATTGTATAAATTTTTATTAAGGACAAGAAAGACGTTCACTTTATGGATGGTAATTCACCATCACCTCAGCTTTATTATAGTGAATAAAATGCGCTGTCGGCCTATTACTACACAAAGCACTTACCGTTTCTGGCAAGACAGAAGTTGATTACTTAAATAGATCTATTAATGGAACAAAGAATGAATGTGTGACCTCCATAAAGGCAACGTTAATTTTAAAATAGCATTGCTAGTTTGTAATTCTCATAAATTTAATTTTAATATACTTACATAATCTACCGAAGCTTAGAGACAAGCGCTTTCTGAGCTTTTGCATTTTGCTCATCGCGCCGCCGCGTTTTTCCCGCATGGTCACGCCTGTAAATAAAGCAAAAAGAACGTGTATTTTTCGGTCATAAAATAAATAATTATGCAACATGTAAAGCAATAACAATTACGGTCTGAATGATCGATTACAACAGATTATGCAATTATAGTATATTGTTTTTAAAATAGACATAATTGATGTTTTCTCTAAATTTCACAAATTAAAAAAAAAACTTAAATTAATCTGTTTCTAATATTGTTATTTAATTTCGCATTAAAATTTACTTGCAAATTTCGATATATTATTTTCTTTTTAACAATTTTATGCATATCTCTAATTTAAAAATAAAATGGTTTGTTAGTTAACGTTTTTATTATGTATTTAGTTGATAAACCCTATAGGATTATGATAGGATTAGGACATAATTACCCCCTACTAAAATGATTAATGATAACGCGATCTATGCTAATAAAATAAAATTATAGTTATATTTTTAAAGGGATCTTTATACTTTAATTAAATTATATAATTAAAAATATAGTACACAAGGCAGGATGCTACAACACAAGGCGGAAGAGTGTACTAATGATCAAAGTATCCCATAAATACGAAACGTGAGCAGGTCTTAGTAATGGCGTAATGACCACTAGTACCAGTACACTGGCATCGCTTGCAATACCAATTCCTTTTTCTAGTAATTAAGTTCCCCCTTCTCGTAATTAAGGTGCAACATTCCCTATGGATATAAGGGATATTCACATATACCTAGAAGCCTAGTCATTGTAAGTCAAACCTATCTATGTATAATATGTATATACTTAATATGTTAAACTCGGAGATAGTTACTGGCTCAATTGTGCGTACAAACAAGGTGTAATAGTAGGAATGTATGTTCCAATGGGTCTAACATATTTATAATCAATTTATAACTTTCCTAAAACATGTTGGACTGCGTCTGAAAATCTGAAGTCCACAGATGAAAAAGGCTTGAAGCTTAATCGCTATCAGTCTGTGGATTTACGAATATTCACCAAGTCGACTCCATGCTTGTCTACCCTGCTCTATTTTAAATAGGACAGAATTAAAATTAAATTATTTCTTTCTAAAAAAGGATCGTGTTAGAATTACTTGTTAGCGGAGCAGTTTTCTTTCTTCGAAATGTTAGATGAAACAATTCAACTCAATAAATATCGCCGTATAAGTTTGGCACGGCGCCGAGTAAGTCGTAGCCGCAATGTGCATTGTTTCAGACGGTTTATTCCGAAGCAGCCTGATTCGATTGCACTGGTGCACGAACTGAATTATCCATTTGGGATTATGCACAAATGGGATTGAAAATCCTTGTCTCGCATTGCATTATATAGATAAGATTATACATTCTTGCTAATATTATAAATGCGAAAGTAACGCTGTCTGTCTGTTACTCTTTCACGCCAAAACTACTGAACGGATTTGAATGAATTTTGGTATACAGACCTTGGAGAAAGGACATAGGCTACGAATTTTTATTGCGAAAAGGGGGTTGGAAGGAGTTAAAAGGGGATGAAAGTTTGTATGAAAATTCGTGGTTTTTGAAGCTAGAACAATGACTTTCATCCTTGGCTTTTTTGGAATAGGGGTGGGCGTGGGCGTGGGATTGACAGTGGGGGTGAGTGTAAGAATGAGAGTGGGAGTTAGTGTTGCGGCAAAGAAGCATACCATAGATTGGCTGCCTTAAATACGCCCTTACATAAATTAATAAACAGTCTCAATAATTAAAAATCCTACCCCAAGTCACTATTTTACGAACGAAGTCGCAGGCACAGCTAGTTGTCATTAATGCCGTTAAAGAAATATAACTGAAATGAACTACGGTCTCAATTATCCCGAGTAATACGCCCGCAAAACTTCCGAAAACGATGTCAAATGTACTATCTAACGGTTTACAACGCGAAATATGCAGTTAAAATAATTTGTAAATAAGTGCAATATATTTTGCGTTTGAAACTGTTAAAGTGTCAAATGTTACAAAACTGTTTACTTATATTGGGGAATATACAAGGTTTTGTTCAATTAATTTATGGTAAGGCAAATTTTAATGATAAAGGAGGACAGAGGAGTTCACTTCATGGTTGGTGATATACTGCATCCTAACAAGATGCGCTCTTGACCTATTTTCGCTTTGGATAATCGGATATCGACAGACTGAAACCGAAATACGATTAAACTTGACTGTCCTTTGAAAACATTAATATTTTTCACATGTTATTGCACATGAAGGCACTATATAATTTTAAAATCGACAATAAATTTTTTCGACTCGGGCAGGACATGAACCGCCATCGTCAGCTTTCCGTGCTGTTGCTCCAATTGAGCTACCGAGTCCTACACCTCATCGTCGAATTTTTTCAACTTATTGATACATGCACCTCTCGCGCAATGTAATTTCAACCTTAACACTTGCGTATTGTCCTGCTCGAGTCGAACATTTTTTCAATTTAATTTCGATTTTTAAATTGACTGTCCTTTTCATCTGTGGACGGTGTCTCGTGACCCGGACGACATTTCGATATCCCTATCACGCATTTAGCAGACCTCGAATGTCCAACATGTTTCACAACATTTATAAACAGTTGGACCTGGGGGGTCAAATTCCCATGAAAACAAAAGTGTTTATATGTTAATGCATACGTCACAATACCCCAATGATATACCGTTGTCAATAGTAGATATGGACCCTTTAGAGATCTCGCAATCCGGTATTGCATTAATGGTATGGCATGTCAGTCGACAAAACTAATCCAAACATGACCACTGACTGCAAATATTAGACCCGTCGACGCTATCTAATCAGACTGTTACAGTCAAACTGATACGATTGAGGTAAACTATTTATTGAACCGAATTAATTATATCAACTTGAGTAATTTTAATATTGAAGAGGAGTTAAATATAACATCTAAGCAAGATGCGTTGTCGACGGCTATTTTGAATTCAGAATTTCAGATGAAATATTATGTACTGTGGAGCTGCGTGTATAACATATTATTATTATATTTATGAGAGCTAGGAATATCGAAAGTCTATCTAGGTCATAAACAAGCGTCCACAGACTAAAAGCCGTGAAGTTAAACTGCGTTTCGATTTCAGTCTGTGGAGTCCCGATTGTTATAGCCAAAATATTATATTTTTGTTTAGATGTTAGACGGGTGTTTTTCCTACCATCAAGTGACTCATTCTTGTCTGTAAAAAAAGCATTATTTTAGAAGGATAAAAGAGGTACGACCAACAGTAACTCATGCGGTTGTTTCATCAATTTTTAACTTTAAAACAACATTTTTAATCGTGATAAGTGACAATGAAACGTGAAATCTAGTATAGGTATCATCAATATCTCTCACATGGGTTAAATTTCTTAATATAACTAGCGACCCGCCCGGCTTCGGTTGTGTTTATTGCTTATACTAAATACACTACAGAAAAACTGTGAACGTTGTGTATAAAATCTTCCTCTTCCGCTCTATCTATTTACAAAAGCCCCATCAAAATCCATTGCGTAGTTATAAAGATTTAAGCGTACATAGAGACAGAAAAAACGTCTTTGTTTTATATTATTATAGATTTTGTATTGCCGCAACGCGTTCTTTTATAAAATTGGTGAGTCAGGTTAGTATCATAAAAATTATAAGTATTCAACTACAACATAAATGGTTACAATAAGTTATTACGTACGTTTCTTTAGAAAAATATATTGATAGTAAGAAATCACGTTTCTAGTCACAATTTATTAAGAACGTGCTTATTTCTTAAACTGTTATCAGGAACAAATGCAAAGATTTATGTGATGCAAGATTACTTAGTCCTAATGTTCTATAGAATGCTATCTATACATAACAACACAAGTAAAATATAAGATAGTTCAAAACAGAGTTTTACAATTAACTGATCTCCAAAACTAAAAAAAAAATCTGGTTGTACTAAAAATAAATGAATTATAAGATCTTTTAAAAACGTTTTGTTAAAGAGTGTAAAAGTATTTTTTAATTACTTTCCATACATATTATATTGGACTATCTGACGATACAAACCGCCACAGCTTGTCAGAAATAATTAAATCGTACTTCTTAATAAGAACTAAAATCTGCAGTTTACGAGAGTAGTATACATTTAAATAAAACACTTTTAACGGTTTAAAACGCGAAATAGTTTAACTTCTTACGTAACGTTAAATAGGGAGACATTTCCCCATTCAACAGATTTCGAGCATAAAAGCGGTTCGTTAGGGCCCAGATCGACCACTTTACGATTCATAAATCCACCGCACGCAACTACGATGTACTTACCACAATATCCTGTTCATGGGTGTTCTGTTAATATCCTTAAACTGTGCTAACCTCAGAGGAGCAAATGTTTCGGAAAACGTGCTGTATATAAGTTATGCGACTTAATAACGCAGTTATTTTTCTGTTCTGTTGTGTAATTTTACGTACTGTGATTAAACGAAGCGGTTTGGTTCAGGCCTACATTTATATAAAAAAAAGAAACAGTTTTATAATATAACTTCTTACATGATTTTAGTAAATTCCCTTGTCAAATACACTAATGTTAGTTTCACTAAACCATTTTATTTACAGGTGTGTGATGAGAGCTACTGAACTGACTGAAACAATTGTTTCCCGGGACTAGAAGTCAAGACCATGACATTCACGCAAGGGATCCAACTTTTCAGTATCGAAAGTGTTCAAAAACGTAATTAACATTAAGTAATGTCTGTAGTTTACACGAGTATTACATAATCAAATAAAACATTTTTAAAAGGTTTAGAAGTATTAGAACCAAGGCGAACCATCGGAAACTGTAGTTAAAATAAGTTATATTAAAGTGTGCGTTTTAAACCGTTAAAAGTATTTCATTTAAATAACCAACAGTCCTCTCTCATAATTTGAACCAGTTTTCCTATTACATTCTAGCTGTTTAAAAAAAGTGGCAAACGTCATTATTATGAGTTAAAAAAAAACATGTCGCATTTCGTTGTTCCGCATACCGGGATTGAGCGTTGAACCACATTGAA